CATGTTGACCGATAGAAAACATTATCACAATGTTCACCAACATAAACATGTTGACTAATAGAAAACAGTATTACAATGTTCACCAATATAAACATGTTGACCGATAGAAAACATTATCACAATGTTCACCAACATAAACATGTTGACTAATAGAAAACAGTATTACAATGTTCACCAATATAAACATGTTGACCGATAGAAAACATTATCACAATGTTCACCAACATCAACATGTTGATTAATAGAAAACATTATCACAATGTTCACCAATATTAGCATGTTGACCGATAGAAAACATTATCACAATGTTCACCAATATGAGCATGTTGACTGATAGAAAACATCATCACAATGTTCACCAATATAAGCGTGTTGACGAAACTGCTAATACATTAGGAGTGATCACATCTACGTTAGCATCCATTACATTGATATCTATAGAGAGGGGTCTTGTGTGATGTTACACGGTAACTGATAAAAGAAATATACCCGAGTTAAGGACAAGCGAAACTTCCACTATATCACCTTACCGACTTTTATCAAATAAATCGAAACATTACAAGTACCTATAATCTTTAATATACTACTTTCATATAGTAACAGACTGGGTTTGCCTCCCTCTTTTCATGTTATTATTCAAAAAACGTTTAGAAATAGTTAACAAATAATTTCCTAGACCCGTTTTTCACTTAATTTAGAAGTATTAGATTACAGTGACTTTGCTCCAGAATGGTCGTCCGATTTCTGCTCTGTGAGATACCTTTATTTAGTAGTTGAATACTGGACCACGCCGTCATGATGCTATATTGATGATTTTCTTTTTCAAAATCCATCAGTAATATTTTGAAATGTTACTTCACGATCGAATCACCATGGTATCGTTATTAATGTCGTTTCATTAGTGTTGTCCTGAAGTGACCTCATAACGTAAATGTCAATTCTTTGTTACTATTACATTAATTTCTGTACGACCACACATGTGAAGTACTGCCAATTTATTACGCTTTTGGTAATAAATGTATAAAGTTTTACCATATAATGCATCAACTCCAGACGACAGACCGTCTGGTCTTCTCTCACCTAAAAGAGGAATTAATTACAGTGCTATCGGCTAGATCGCAATTCCCATCCCATTTTCCCCTTACATGGCGCTGTTTAATACTGGAACTTAACATTTCATAGAATGTCATGGACACTTTTGACTCGCCACTCGAGGGCTGTAGGATCATTTTCTGTGATGTCGCCCACATTTTTCTTAGTACACGCCAAAGGACTCATTTTTGCATTGTGGCAATCATAACGAATGAAACTCATCAAAGGTTTGATCGTGTAAATCCTTTGTGAGGGATCGTTTGTGTCGGCGAACCTGAGGCCATGTATAATGGTCTATTTAATACAAGATTTCACTTCTATATTATAGTTCAATCTATTATAGGCTTCTGATGATAAGGTTTTGGCTATATAAGAATGAGCGAAAAAACTGCTTTTGCAGATCCTATGTTATCACTGAACTTTCATTACTCAACAAATTGAAATTGTTAATATGTTTGTTTGACATAAGGCCACGAAAACAAACGGAGTAGCTTGAACATATATCATTTGACTACGCTGTTAAGGTTTATAATTTCAGTCTGCATGATGAACGATACGTCCTCCCTGCATTCAATTCGTCTATCTGTTCATATGTTTCATACCGCTTTCCGGGCAATAACTGCAGATAATAGTTTACATTGTAGGCTTACTTATATAATGACTATACCCAGGCGAATATCGAAGATAAGTGTGATCTGTGCATGTTTGGAGTAACAGGTACTTTTTTAAAACTCTCATTGGTTAATTGGTTATAGTCCTTGGTACTACAACATATACGAACAAATCACAGCTTTGAATTTGCTTGATCAAAACTTCTTTACGTCTTACTGCTTAAACCCGTAGGTAGTATCCCTACTGATTGGGGTTCTGCATCATACGTCCTGCCACACGGCGTAAACCCTCAGACAGTATCCACACTGATTAGGGTACTACATTATACGTCCTGCCACACAGCGTAAACCCTCAGACAGTATCCACACTGATTAGGGTTCTACATTATACGTCCTGCCACACAGCGTAAACCCTCAGACAGTATCCACACTGATTATGGTTCTACATCATACGTCCTGCCACACGGCGTTAACCCTCGGAAAGTACCCACACTGATTAGGGTTCTACAATATACGTCCTGCCACACGGTGTAAGCCCTCGGAAAGTATCCACACTGATTAGGGTTCTACATTATACGTCCTGCCACACAGCATAAACCCTCAGACAGTATCCACACTGATTAGGGTTCTACATCATACGTCCTGCCACACGGCGTTAACCCTCGGAAAGTACCCACACTGATTAGGGTTCTACAATATACGTCCTGCCACACGGTGTAAGCCCTCGGAAAGTATCCACACTGATTAGGGTTCTACATCATACGTCCTGCCACACGGCGTAAACCCTTAGACAGTATCCACACTGATTATGGTTCTACATCATACGTTCTGCCACACAGCGTAAACCCTCGGAAAGTACCCCCACTGATTATGGTTCTACATTATACGTCCTGCCACATGGCGTAACCCCTCAGACAGTATCCACACTGATTAGGGTTCTACATCATACGTTCTGCCACACAGCGTAAACCCTCAGACAGTATCCACACTGATTATGGTTCTACATCTCACGTCCTGCCACACAGCGTAAACCCTCAGACAGTATCCACACTGATTATGGTTCTACATCATACGTCCTGCCACACGGCGTAAACCCTCGGAAAGTATCCACACTGATTATGGTTCTACATCATACGTCCTGCCACACAGCGTAAACCCTCAGACAGTATCCACACTGATTGGGGTTCTGCATCATACGTCCTGCCACACAGCGTAAACCCTCAGACAGTATCCACACTGATTAGGGTTCTACATCTCACGTTCTGCCACACAGCGTAAACCCTCTGACAGTATCCACACTGATTAGGGTTCTACATCTCACGTTCTGCCACACAGCGTCAACCCTCAGACAGTATCCACACTGATTGGGGTTCTTCATCATACGTCCTGCCACACAGCGTAAACCCGCGGAAAGTATCCCCACTGATTAGGGTTCTACATCTCACGTTCTGCCACACAGCGTCAACCCTCAGACAGTATCCACACTGATTAGGGTACTCCATTATACGCCCTGCCCCACAGCGTAAACCCTCAGACAGTATCCACACTGATTAGGGTTCTACATCTCACGTTCTGCCACACAGCGTAAACCCTCAGACAGTATCCACACTGATTAGGGTACTACATCATACGTCCTGCCACACGGCGTAAACCCTCAGACAGTATCCACACTGATTAGGGTACTACATCATACGTCCTGCCACACGGCGTAAACCCTCGGAAAGTACCCTCACTGATTATGGTTCTGCATCATACGTCCTGCCACACGGCGTAAACCCTCGGAAAGTACCCACACTGATTATGGTTCTACATCATACGTCCTGCCACACGGCGTTAACCCTCATGCAGTATCCCCTCTGATTAGGGTTCTTTAATTAGGGTTCTACATCATACGTCCTGTCATACAGCATTAACCCTCAGGCAGTAACCCCACTGATTAGGGTTCTACAGTATACGTCCTGCCACAGAGCGTAAACCCTCAGACAGTATCCACACTGATTAGGGTTCTACATCATACATCCTGTGACACGGCGTACCCAACGTAATCAACGACTGCATAACTATGATGGTAACATTATGAAGCCAAATTCAAAGCTTCTATTTATTGCATACATAAAAATGTAACTTAAAAATCTGAAATGGTAATTCACAGCTCCTATCACAAATCGTACACTTAATGAGCACAGTTTCTTTCATACACAGTTATGCCAGGTGAGGTAGGTGTGAAAACGATAAACGAAAACACTCATCATTAACACATAAACAGTTTCTTATGCGTGGTATCCATGTGCCTTGAGAGTGAATTTTATCAAATTATGGGGACGTCATCCGAAAATAAGCAATTATGCATTTGCATTAAGTAAGCATTATAAGTCTGAAGTTGCATGGTCATTAGAATTATAAAACTCTGTTGGGGGCTCATTTTATCATCAATGACTTTTTTCGTTGATACAGGTTTGCCAGCAGATAAGATTGGGATGTATAAGGAAGCTAAAACGACTATTGACTACGTACTTGAAGGCGACACATGGAAGATCAACGTTGGTAGGAAGGGTGACCCTGCTAGTGCGAAGACGTTTAAGTTCAAACTTGGTGAAGGCTACGAGTCAGCTGATCTCGACGGAACGCCAATGCAGGTAATACACACTTTTGTATAAACTGTGAAAGTATTTTTCATCTGCTAAAAACGCGGGTATTACACATATACACACATATACACACATAAACACATATACACACATATACACACATATACACAAATAACACATACACACACATAACACATATACACACATATACACACATATACACATATATACACATATACACACATGTACACGCATATATACACACACATACACATATATACACACATATACACACATACTAATGTAAATTTAGAAATAAATATTATGATTACCTGGTCCATGCACCTATATAAATGAATACTTGGAAATAATCACCCACGATCGCACCAGGAAAACTGCTGATGCAGGTTGATTGTTTGACTTTGACCTAAAGTACAAATGATCAATAATGTATTGTTCTATCAACTGTTACGATCACATGTACGAAGTAGACGTCCCGTAGGTGGGATAAACGACTCATAAAAGTCTGATAAATAGAGATATGGAACATTTACCTTACTGTGTTATATATTTATTCTGGCGTCAAATGCTAAAATGCAAACTCATGCTTTTTAGACATCATCTTAGCCATAAATTAACAGGTAACGTTATAAAGCCACATCAAAACCCCTCTGTATATTTGGCAATATAACTACTTTATGTAACGACAAAAAGGACATTCGTCAAAATGATGTTCCATCGAAAGAGCACTTGTGGAAGATAACAATCGAACATTACAATTGTGACATGTTTCAACACCGTCAAACTACTTCCTGTTTGTATGAGTAAAATTGTGTCTATAGCACAGAAAAGAACCGATGTTAGATTTCACTGGTAGTCAGTTTTATATCAAATCTTTCCAAAATTGATTGTTCTATTTTGAAATGAGTTTTGCTTCTACAAAAAAATGGATTTTTTTTTAAACATTAGATAATTGCATTACCACAAAAGCGATAAATTGATCCTATGTCAACCTTGTATTACTAGTAGCAATTTCACTCCACCCTGGACAAAGTGAATGTCAGGGTGTGAACGTTAGATAATAATACTATGTTACCTGAGGGAGAAAAATCAATACTTCATAATTTTCCAACAAAATTGTCGCAAACTATTGTAGGGTTGTGCACATGTTACACTTGTAGTAAAACGATCAATTAAACCCTTACGACTGACAATTGTGTTATATAGAACATGCTACACTTATAGTAAAACGATCAATTAAACCCTGTTGACCGACAATTTTGTGATATAGAACATGCTACACTGTGTAATGGATTATTGTCATAACATAACTGCGTTATAGGGCTATATAGGGTTATATGTTTTTCCTGCCATACTAAATGTTTGCCTGTATGATATAGGACATGCTTATCTTTGTAATGGAATCTTTCACTATCACTATATGTAAAACAGGAAATGTTACACTCTGTTTCTTCTGTCATAATACATGTTATCTGTATGATATAGGACATGCTTAACTTTGTAATAGATTCTGGTCATACTATAACTTTGTAAAATAGGCATGATACATTATGTAATATGTTTTTCCTGTCATAATACATGTTTGCCTGTATTATATAGGACATGCTCATCTTTGTAATGGAATCTTTCACTATCACTATATGTAAAATAGGACATGTTACATTCTGTTTTTCCCGCCATAATACATGTTTGCCTGTATGATATAGGACATGCTCATCTTTGTAATGGAATCTTTCACTATCACTATATGTAAAACAGGAAAATGTTACACTCTGTTTCTTCTGTCATAATACATGTTTGCCTGTATGATATAAGCCATGCTTAACTTTTTAATAGATTCTGGTCATACTATAACTTTTAAAATAGGCATGATACATTATGTAATATGTTTTTCCTGTCATACTACATGTTTGCCTGTATGATATAGGACATGCTCATCTTTGTAATGGATTCTTTTACTATCACTATATGTAAAATAGGACATGTTACACTCTGTTTCCTCCGCCATACTACATGTTTGCCTGTATGATATAGGCCATGCTTAACTTTGTAATGGAATCTTTCACTATCACTATATGTAAAACAGGAAAATGTTACTCTCTGTTTTTCCTGTCATAATACATGTTTGCCTGTATGATATAGGACATGCTCATCTTTGTAATGGATTCTTTCACTATCACTATATGTAAAACAGGAAATGTTGCACTCTGTTTTTCCTGCCATAATACATGTTTGCCTGTATGATATAGGACATGCTCATCTTTGTAATGGAATCTTTCACTATCACTATATGTAAAACAGGAAATGTTGCACTCTGTTTTTCCTGTCATAATACATGTTTGCCTGTATGATATAGGACATGCTCATCTTTGTAATGGAATCTTTCACTATCACTATATGTAAAACAGGAAATGTTGCACTCTGTTTTTCCTGCCATAATACATGTTTGCCTGTATGATATAGGACATGCGTAACTTTGTAATACATTCTTGTCAAGCTTTGTAATAAAGGACATTATTTATCTTGTCATACTACTACAACATTAGACATACAGGAACTGCAACATATAAGACGTGTCACACTTTGTGATCATTTTTGTTTGTCCAAGTATAAGGTATCGTACATGTTACACTTTGTTATAGACACTTTGTCCTAAGTTCGTGTCGTGCCAGAAATGTAATCAATGGTCATTTAACACTTTGAAGTAAATCAATGTCGTGCTAGAACTGTCTGGTTTCGAACATGTAACACTTAGTAGTAGATAAGTGTCCTACCAGAACTATCAGGTTTCAGTAACACTTTTTGAATAAATGCTGTTTCCTAAATTCCTGTCGCACAAGAACTGTGATATATTAAACAAGCAATTCTTTTAGCACATTGCGTCTGTAATCCGTAGCATACAAAGGGTTATTCATTAGTTTACATGTTATATAGTCTTTGGTTTCAACCCCAGAGCTTGGTGAAGGCTGACGGCCCTACTCTAAACGAGGAACACACATTTGGGGAAGGGCGGTTGAAGGGTGCACAGATGGCCATCACAAGGTGGATAGAGGGCGACAACATGATGGTGGTGAGGACTTGTTCTTAACCTGAAATAGAAGTCGAGTCTGACTAATAGCATCTCTCGGACTACTCTCGATTTGTCTTTATTTCAAATGTCAACACACGATAATAACGTGGCCAATTGATGCCTTCACTAACGTAATTCTTTTCAATAGCAATTGGGGTTATGTGTAGACATATCAAACACATTTAATTATCCTTTCTCTGTTGGGTCATTGTATAGAGCTAGTATGTGATTTCATTATATGCATACTTTTATTATATAGAAAATAATGTCCAAAGTCACTATCATACATTATTCTATTAATTACACCATCAAGAAAATAATATTTTGATAATTGATAATTTTCAGAAAACGGCGATGTGCGGTCATTCCATGGTTTCTACATACAAGCGAGTTTAAACTAGTGAAAGGATCATGCAACTATTCCTTCATTGACTAATATAGCTAAGTACGTCACCAAAACTAGCTATGTGCGTACTGCGTCAGCACTACGCGTGTACTGCTGAGAATTGTACATGTTGTGCCTTCGTGACAGACATAATTGATTCTTCTATGTACACCGAACGCCATGTTGTTTGCCTTGAGGCTGCAGTAATATTGTTCTGTTTTGTGAACTGCTCTAAGTGGCATTGCTAGACAGATTTCAGGAGACATGGTTAAACCAAGCTTTGATTCTACGCTTCATTCATCTAGCTTATTCTTTGTCGTGGATCAGATCTTAATACACGCAACAATGTAATGCATGATTTAAATACAGGAATATGTAAACTTAACTGTAGAATGTTTGCTATCTGATGATTGTAGAGCGTATGTCTGGACAATGTTTCTTCTTTCAAAGACGTGTAAGTGTTTTTTATTTTCGTAGGAAAGATAGTCTTTTGAAGTTTTGCAAATGCCATAGGATGCTTCTAAACTATCTATAGTAGTCATGAATGAGGTTGTCGATGACGTTGATATATAAAGTACTCTTGTCTGAAGCCATGTACCCCTACAAGATGTATTGAGTTTGTGACATCAATTCTGTTGAATTTGTTCGGTATTTTAATGAGAACTTATAAGCAACATGCTGTTCTCTGTTGACAACCTCTTACTTTACGTCGGTGATCACAGCATGTTAGTTGCTGATCATTACAAAAACACATGTTACACTATAATTACAACGCAATAACCTATTCCACGTGCACCGACTAATGAGCGTGTTTTGTACTGAAATTAATTTATTGCAAAATTAAATTGATCTGAAGTACTTTAATATAAGGTCAATGAGTACGTTTCTGCTGACTTTTAAATTAAGTTGATCGAATTTGCGGTTAGAAACGGACAATAATGGTATGTCACTAAATGAAGCTGCAGTCCAACTTACAACAATGCACGTTCTAAAATGAATTAAGAAACAATATATATCTAATTATTATTCTTTTAATAATTTCTTTGAAACGTGTTTTGAAATGTATACAATATATTTGTGATATATTATTTGTAATATATCTAATACAGGTACCGTGAGTCTGATATGTAGACAAATCTTGATGGTACTGTAACATGTGGAACTGTCAGGTCAGAGAGGGCTGCTGCATTACCACTATAATTAGATTGGCAGTAACAGCACCGCCCATTAAGGTGGGCGTGTCCGTGAATTAAACGACGATATATTGTGTAGGTACCATGTTTATCTTAGTGTCTTAATGGACCTCGCATGGGCTTTCAGTGTATTCAATTAAACAATAAACACTTAATCCATTAAGCATCATGCATACAGACTTGTTGTTTGTTATTTCTCATATCTTTATTTATATTTTATTAAAATCACCTAAGTTTGACTTGTATTATTCAAACCTGTTAATGATCATATTGCAGTGTTGACAATAGGTTTGGTTTGAGAGAGAATAACTTAATTCAAGTTTTAACATGACCAGCAATCATCGATTACAACAATGAATATGTAAATAGAATAGTAGTTTGTCTTAAATAATAGATCAAATTACAAAGAAAGTGATCGTGAGAAATCTTAATGTAACTTATATGTTTATCTTCACAAAGATTCAGTCGCGAATTTGAAATCTCAAAGATAAAGAAACCATTAGAATAACTAATGTAATTTACATGTTTATCAACAAACAAATTCGGTCGCGAATTCAAATTCTCGTGAATGTTTGATTAGGATAAGTAAAACAATCAAAATAACAAAACTTTTGTCTCAGTACTTGTTTAATGATATCCTTGCGAAGAAGTTGTTTGAAGAACGATCCCAAAAATAGAAAGTCGTATTATTTAAGAACTGACAGTTCTGAAAATGTGAATAAAAAAATGCATATACATTTAAATGTTTATCTTCATTTGAAAGCATGTCTTGGACCTAAATTGAAAATAACACTACAGTACATCAGGATTGAAGAGAAATAACTAGACGTAATAATTTGGAGCTGATGTTGATCATACAAAGTGTTGTAACGGCGCAATAAGATCAGTTTTGATCTGTATAATGAGCACAATTCTACAAGGGGTCCTTTAAGTATCCATTTATGATCATGCGATGGGATGAAGCAGACAAATTACTTCAGCCTCAACCTACAGGGTATGGAATGAAAACGACGATATCATTCTATCATTTCAGATTATATTCTACCAAAGAAGAAGTGGATTGAGGGCGCCAAGTACAATCTGGCGTTATTTTTACGTAACTTATGGGAAATTTAAGTTCAAAACCAAGATTGTTGTCAGTTTATAAATAGATATTTTAAAATATAGATCATCGCGAAGAAATTGATGCCGCTACCGCAAAATGGTTAATGCAGTACATGAGATATAAGATATGTGAAGCAACACTTCAATTAATGAAGAGATCTGATGGGAAATGTCATCTTTGTGTAATTATGCACAGCATGTGCAGCATGTACAGCATGTATCACATGTAGAACTTCATAAGAATGATCGTCTACTGTGAAAATGTATATTATTTGACATCACTAGAAACGAAGAGATTGATCTACTTAGGGATTATGATGGTGACAAAAAAATATACATTTAAATTGATTATGACATATACAATTTGGAAGGTTCGAAATGTAGTGAAATTCCAAAAACAGGAACCTAACTATCACCTCTACCTTCGCAATAACTAAAGAGAGACGGACAATTCAATTTCATAAAAGATCCCTTCCAATCACGTCAACAAGTATACCTGTTTCCTTTCTTACGTACATGGCATTCTTGTAAACCAGTTTAAACAGTTTCAAACCCCAGGTGTTTGGAATGTTACCAATATATCATATTGCATTTTGGCACACATAATTAACAAATCAGTAAGAAACCTATCAGAGAAGTTCGCGAAGAGCAGAAAGTTGTTCAATTGCAGAGAAGATCAAATGTACAATATGCATTCAAACACAAGACAAAATTACAATAAAACGCGCTCCAAAAACACAAGAAGACAATAAACTCAAATTACAGTCGTGATAGGTTCGAATACATTATTTTACATGCAATTTGTTATCGAACTCTACCCATTTAATCAAGCATACCAGATTTTGTTACGTTTAAAAGTTACATCCGCTAACACTTAATCTAAAGCTTTACCTCCACGTATCGACAAATAAAAGGACTGGCAGTTTTTCTTCAGGAATATTACAATGATTACCACCAGTGTAGGAAATTTACTACGTGTTTTGATTAATTATGTTTTTGGCCATTCGATTAAAACTCGAAACACAGGACATGCACAAACGATAAACTTCATCACGCGAGTGGATGCAAATCAGAATGTATAATCGAGTTAGATTTATTGTGTTCCCATATCTCGAAAATAAAAAGAAACGTTGCGGTGTCACGACATGTAAGTAAGATTATAAGACTCTTTCAAGCCCAGTGGTGTAGGATAGGGCAAGTCCACCCGAGGGGTTTTCAAATTTAGTAAAACCCGAGGCTTTGCAGAGAGTTTTGCCAAATTTAAAAACCCCGAGGGTGGAATTGCAGAATAAGCCCAGAAACCATTTAAATGCGCTTGGACTAGCCACCATTTCAAAAATATCAATTTATACTCTGAGCTTTGTATACGAAAACGAATCAGCCAGCCAGATTAAGCATATCCAATATTTGCAAACAATGTTTGCGCAGAAAATAAATCACATCTTTCTAACGTGTACGGTAAATATATCGTAAAAGGTTTTAATTTCATCACGTCGCATTTTCCGCATTGGGGCATCAGAGAGTTCCAAATTCGCGATGTCACGTCATTGTTGAGCCATTGTCACGTCTTGTCACGTGAAATGGGGTGTAAGATAGTTTCCTACACCATGTACAGCTCTATCTTACACACAGGAAAATTAGAGAGAGAAAATGCTGTTAAATTATCCGAAATAATACCATAGGCTGGAAATGAAGAACATTGTGGCAGTTGTTGAGGAAATATTTCCGCAACGAATTTCGCAATTTTAAAAGTGCAATGTGTATACTAATTCAGTTATACAAATTGTGTTTAAAGTTAAGATTTTATCACAATTAATTACCAGACAACGAAGATACGTTATTGTAATTCAATTTTCTGGGTTTATCTAGCCGCCAGGACTGAAATTATTAAATATATCGAGATACTACAAATCATCTGAAATGATCTACAATTGGGAGCAAACTTAACTTGATAGCCTAATGTACTGGAGTTGACAAGTAAAGTGAACTACAGTTCACAAGCGTGTGCACTGGGGTTAGATACAGTGTACAATTCTCTTTATCATAATCATTGTCTGGTTTTGATCAGTTAGTACATATTGTGAACTTCTCCCTGCCTCTCCACTTTAAAAAGATTGTAAAACATGCTACATGGTATGTAGTACTTAAAATACTAAAAATACTATTACTTAAACTCTTACTCTTACTTAAAATAATTGCAGCAGTATTCTTAAACTTTGACTCATGTACTAAACTAATATCATGCTCAAATGAAAGTTTTCTTTTCGAGTATATAAGCGATAACAAATATAAAAAAAGAGCGATAACTTGTTTAATTATCAGTGCATGTATATGCATGCACATGCATTAGTGGTGTAAAATTTATGATACTCTGTCTTATAGATAAACAGTCTTTTACTATACACATATGTATATATTACATTATATATGGGCAAGGAAGTAATAACGACAGTGCAGACAAAGAAATTTGTCAAATTTTCAGGGCGTTTTGCCCTTTGATCAAGACAAGAACATGAACATTTACATATAACAATATCTTACAGAGACCATGAAACAATAATACAATACAAAAATACACAAACAAACAGAAGTTACTTACATCAAATATGCTGTTTTAACTGCATATCTCCTCGGTTAGCTTGTAACCGAAGGCTAATTGTATATTATATTATATATAAAAAATATAGTTGAATCTCATATTAATCTAGGAACTATCGTAAACAAGACAAATATATGTACTATATATAATTAATCATTCATGATAGGTACCTTTGGTATTAACAAGAATGTAGGTTTTCTTTATCGATAATAAATGTGTCGGTATCCATACTGACTTTTCTACGGGTAAATTTTACCTGTGTGAACCCTGGTATAGGAGAAACTATGGCTGGGGCGACCTGATGGGGTTTGTGTAACAGAGGGTATGAGGATCTGATGTCAGATTACAAAGGCACTAACAGTCACAGGGATAGACTACTAAAGTTTAATCTATGATGACTACACATCATTACATCAGCCACACGAGAGTTTTCATTTCATTGTTTAGAATCATTGACAGAGACGAGTGTATGTGCCAATAACCTACTTATTAATTAGAAACAAAAATCTACCACCAACCCCATTATACCCTCCCTCCCTCCTTCTTATGACAATGATGATAGTGATGATGATGATGATGATGATGATGATGATGATGATGATGATGATAATGTAAAAAGTCTATGTAAAAAGGTACCACCCGAGCTGGTGAAATTGAATAGTACACCAGAGTGTCAGACTTGGGACTTAGAGATCTATATAAAACAATAACTATTACAGTTACATTTTATAGGCAAAGCCACCATGAGATTGGGTGAAACAATTACATCAAATTTTCTTCATCTGTGCTCTATAAATGTAAGTGTATACATGTACGTAACATCATCGCCAGGTAAATCCAAGTCTCTAATACTGTCCACTGAGTTACCGGTCAGCTGAAATAAGTCAATTATCTTTTTCATTGAACCATGTAAATTCAGTGGTACCCAATACCAGACACACTTGACTGATTTAAAAACCAAGTAAAGTCATGTCACGAAATTAAGAACCGTGCTAGTGATAACGAAACAACAAGGCACACTTTTGAGCGTAATCAAAACATCAACATCGATATCGCACAAGGAAACGTAATATCCCAATAAGATCATGATGGCGACCTATGTATGCTAGTCAACAGTCACAAGCAGTCAACATCTTTCAAGGAAATCAGGATATGTTTTGCATTGCTGTAAATACCGAATTAATTGTGACATGTAGAAACATGAATGTAACTGTCATGAAACGGAGAGTTCACAATCCAAAAATCATCATGCTTCGTAAAAAAGACCGCCACAGTTGGTCATGTTGATATAAAGATCCAGGTAAACAACTGAGGTTATATAGTCTGTAGCATCTTTGTTGCCAAGTTCTAGAAGATATATATGATCAACGTGGTCAATTAATGTGTTACTTTTTAAAGACAGCACAGCATCGGTATGTTTTAAAGTAAAATTGAAGGATTTGGCAAGTTTTTTGTTACCAGCCCTGATAAGTTCGTCAATAAATTCAGACTCTTATCAAGTCGGTTAAGAGTTTGTATGCACAGGAATGCTGGAAAATCATGAAACCAAACTCAACGAAGATACTGCGAATCAAGTACTCAATGATTCTCCAAAATAGTTTATAACCAAACAAGGGAGGTTCATATCCTTTTAATCATCTTAATCGTTACATTTATCTTATCATGAAATTTATACTTCAAAAATCCAAAGTTGCAGAAAAAAATAATTATTGATAGACGTATATCAAGATATTGCTTTTGCTTATTGTAACCTGATACTATTCTCGGATGCGAATTTATCCTATTATATTGATATAAAATGATGATCTATTCCGAAAATTGGATATTTATCTTAATCAATCATATTTGGTTTCTCCCATATCTAATAAATATATACACCACCTTATGTTGACGTCTCAAGCTCATAGTGTTTGTGAATCGAAAGACATGTAATTGGCCAGGAGTAATGGCACCTGTGACATTTAACACAGAAATAAGGAAACCTACCTTCAACTATGATCTGTATAATTAAACCCGGGTAGTTTGTCTGTAACGACAATGGTAGAAGTAATATCTTAATAAGTAACTATGTGTATTGTGCCATCACTAGTGCTGTAATGTGTGTAGGTGGTCTATTACAAGGGTATTACACATACTCTCCTAATTTTCTTAACAACCCTTTCTGTAGAGTGTAGAGGGACGATGTGGCACTGACGCCTGTTTTTTTTTCTATCATGACTATGTCATGTAACTAACTGTTACTTGATATATGTCACTATTATCGAAGTTAACTAATTCACGTGTTCTTGGTTTATAATATAACAAATCAATAGCAAAACAATTTTGACTATTGTTGATATATATAAATTATCTCTAATTTCTAGTGTCATCATAATCAAGGTTCACATGAACCCATTGGACATAAAATCATACGTCTTTATTGTTGTATAATTCCTGGGTAACCATTTTTTTGTTGAGTTCGCTGGCAAGTCTTTCCAGTAGACCTACTAACCCTGTGTGCTTTTTTTTTATAAGGTTTTATCCATTTAATAACTTACATGTATCAGGGCATGTACACAGGTCTAGTCAAACAATGTCCGTCAATTCCACGTGTACCGACATTAATAACACGACATTTATTGACCACGTGGAATTAACATATTCTTCTACATCAGCCACTTTCAAATAAACTGCATGCAAGGCATTACAATTTCGATTATCTGTTCTTAACTTTCCCTTTCTTGACAGTAAGATCCATGTTTCGCCCATCTACAGTGTTTACGTGCCACATATGACTCAATATTCATGGGCCTGCTGCAAATATAACAATATCCTGATATATTTCAATGATGCCTGACATAGTTACAATCAGGTCTTTCGAAAAATGAAGATCAATTATGACTGTTGGCATGTAACTCTCTTTGAGGACGTGACCAAACTTGGATTTCACCTTGTATTACTATGCGTGTAAACAGGACGATAATGTTACCTGTACATATACGTGCACAACATATACACACCAATTAAGATATACATTATGTCATTTAGGTAATCGAAATTGCATTAGACACACTTATTCAACTAAACGGTTAATATTACATCGAGTTCAAGCAAAATAATGGAAAAAAAGCATCCAGGTACTTGCCATATGAATGTAGCTCATTTGTATCAGAAGTAGAAACTCTTTGATACTGGAAAAATAATCAAAATGCTTTTCATGTCTTCTTTAGCAAAATATTTCCGATAATCAGCCAAATCAAATATTATATGGACACTACATACATAGTGGTTTAGCGACACTTTATACATGTTTTGGAATTACACAGAAGTATTTAATAATATTGCCCCATCGATTGTATTTATTTTCAATATATTTAAACATATAACTTTCAGATCTATAGTATTAACATACTGTACACATATGTGATTGTTCTATGGGTATCAATATAATGTATATGGCTTGGGTTTTGTACAAGAAAATCATGTCAAGTTCGTGCTGTGATAAATTTGCAGTTTGAAAACTACTCGGAAAATATTATGCCTAAACACGGTCCTCGTAAAGATATAACTTACTGCAATATATCAATGAGATGACTGTCAAAATTAAAAATCACAGAAACACTAACTAGGGAACAAACAAAACAAGTAATAGTTCAATATAAATAAAATATTAATCTCTATTAGTAAAGTGTTATTGCACAATATTGAACACAAAATAATACATGTAAATATGATAGACATTGTTAAATATAAATGTACAAAAATAGTGTTAGGAGGCATGTGCTACGCTTTCGGAACTAAGACTATGGAAAATGATGACATTTGTTTCCTGCCATCCTTCTGCAAGTACTTCATGTAGTCAACAGTAAAGGGGTGACTTTATAAACAACCGTCAGAGGTACAAAATAGGTATCTGGCATCATAACAAAACAAAACAAAAACAAAAACAAACATTATATTATGATTATATATGCAAACAACAATATCAAAATGTATCAAATCATACGTTTAAGGACACTAAGGAAGTTACGAAACTTTCTTTCCTAAGGATACGAAACAAGGAACTTTCATTTAACCAATGAAACGTTTACATTAATTTTTTATCAAGAAACACTCATCTAAAAGTAAGACCGGAAAACAGATGAAAAACCTAAAAATGAAAAAATATCTAAAAAATAATGCAGCAAAACCATGGGCTAAGGAAGGATGTACCAGCCGTACTCGTATCTTCCATTAAATCAATGTGTAAGTTATCAATAATCTAACACTATTTAATCAAATAAGTTGTGTAACATAGTCATCTCCACAACACAGATTATTATAGGACATAAAAAACATAAAGGGTCCTGTGTTTATTCAGGAAAGATTCACGAGTTATTTCCCTTGTCACTTACTTGTCTTGTTTGGTCATTTAACGCGCATTATTATAAAAACATCATGAAATATTCATATTCTGGATAAAAAAACGATAAAAAAGGATCACCTCATTTGCATAAGAAAGAGAATTTATCATGACGGAACACAACACTATGCAGCATTATTTGTGTAACCGTCAGAGATAGAACTATATATGTTGAAATTCTCATATCGCTAAAGGAACATTATAAAATCAGGTGATCGGGTGTTATATAGCGCACTCGACTTTGAACCAAGAAGACCAGGGTTTGATTCCCCGATTAAACATGAAAAGGTAATCGACTACCTGCTCGACCACGTGGGCACTGTTAAAACCCACATTAAGACCTATGCATGCTTACAATCTCGCCGAGTGACTATTGCAAGTTATACAAAAAATAAAATCAAAAGTAAGTCATAACACGTGATGATACAACAATGTTTGTAATATTGCGTGATGCTTAAATCATGCAAGTACATGCAATATCATGTGACGATAAAATCATGTTAGTAAATATCACGTGATGATAAAATCTTTTTAGTAATATCACTTGATACTTAAAACCATGTTAGTACATGTAATTGTTACGTGATGAAAAAACCATGCTAGAAAAAATCACGATATGACAAAATCTGGTTAGTAATATCACGTGATGATAAAATCTTGTTTGTAATATCACGTTATGATATCACGTGGTAATCATGTTTTAATCATATACTGTATAGTGCCAACATCAAACTTCAAAAGTACATTACTTATTTCAGTAAACCTGTTTTTTATGTATCAACAGAAATGAACATACACGAAAATATATGCAAATCTGTTATGGGCCGTCATCACAGAATAAATACACCTTGTTCGTTGTCAGTCTTTATAAAACTTCTATAAATGTTCATTGTCAGTCTTTATACACCCTCTATAAATATTGCATTGTCATCCTTCAAAGTACTTAAGCAGATGTGTATTTCCACTTTTCTTAAGAGCTTCCTTAACTTTAGGTAGATGACTTACTGGCTTTTTACTCAGAACATCAAGCAAATTCCTACGTCTGTCTCCGCCTTCGTTCTGCAATGATAAATAATAACTATAGTAAAAGCCATTAAACACACAGTATCTGTTGACACTGGAGAGAAATAAGTAAGCAATGATTTCAAAGGCTTTCTTTTATAAGTTCTTATACAAATATGACATCAACGAGTTAATAAAAACGCATTTTAAATATATTAACATTTCAATTTTAAATGTACATATCATGTGTATTTTTAAAATAAATTACAAAAATAAAACAGCAGAAGATTATTTTTTTTTATCAGAAATTATGTTTTAACCTTTGATATTCATCCTGGATAAACAAAAGTCTGAATTGATTTGGAGTATACTGTATAAATTCTGTACAACCCATTAAACATAATACTTGTATTGCACTTATTGAAAGGAAACACGAGTCTTTTTTTTCTCCGAGATTAATCAATGTCATATGATTATAGTGGAGAAACACAGAATCGTTTGTCCCTACAAAAAGGTCAATAAATATTTTATTAAGCAGAAATGAAACAATAACACAACGGTAAAAATGATCAGGTTGATGCGCCATTTTGTCGTCTACTTCAGTCACTCGGAACACACTTGTGGTGTTTATTATTTTACTTGAGAGGCTCCAAATAAGGGAAATCTGTCCGGGGAAACTCGAGCTCGTGAGGGCGACATGATGTTTGATTATCCTGTCATATGATCCAAATTAGACAAGCTGTTATAGAGATGAGGTATATTAATTGTAATCAGGGTACCTTTTTTCTGATATCTTCGTTTTGTTGTCCTGTCAATACGCCGTCTTGTAACAAATAATCCATAAATTCATTTTCACAGAGGGAATTCTGGATTCTAGCGTAGTTTGGACTGATGTATTTGCTCAACATTTCAAGCGATCTGTCATCACGCGGATTCGTATTTTTTCTGTTCAACCCTTCATTTATCTTGCTGCTGATCGTTTTCACGTGAACGTTTGTTTTTTCGACTGTTCCCCGTGTACCTTTAATTACTGTCATCATTTCACATTGCTGGTCTCTCAATTCAGACAGAGAAGTAGATTGCAATTTAGCTTCGTGTTGAGCGGCCTTCATTACATCTAGAATTTGCGTTTTATGTTCATTGTCATTGTTTTCTTTTTGACTCAATTTTCTTTCCAGAGATGCCAGCGTTTTTTGTACCTGCTGTAGTTGTTCACCTACTCCGCTTGTGGTTTCATTAGTTTCCTTTAGAGACGTCTCCTCTGACAGACCTCGACTGGGATTATCTGAAAAAATAGGAAGTAATCTGGTCAGTATAATCCTTATGTTCTGATATGCATTTTTATACTGCTGGTTAGATTATGAAATAGTTTTGTATGCTTTTTACGAAAGTAATTTTGTTTAAATCGCGAGAATTATCTCGCTAAAACGCAAGATAATAACGATAAAACACAAGTAAAGTATCAGTGTTGTTTAACCTGAATTATATCAAATGTGAATCAACTTTGGCAAATGTATGTAGTTATGTTTTCAAATTGTAATCTGAGAGCATCGAGGAATTTTCCTTCCTCACCTTGCCCACCCGTAACTTATATAATAAGAACAGAAGACTGAATTCTACATGTTTATTCTTAGAAGGAAATCCCTTAGATTAACAAGAAGTGGTAGTGTATGTTTTGAGCAAAAAAAGCCCTGATTATTTATATGGATATGATATGTGCAAAACGGATTCATATTTTCCATAGAACACTGTGTATGAATTAAGTGTAAAGAGGAAAATAATAATTGCTGATTTCGGTATATTGGTTGTTTACGGACACATCTTATTAAAGGGATCAGAAATGAAAAGAGATTAAACAGGAGAATATAAAGCAATTTTTTGTTTGTCTAGAGGGAGAAAGTCTATTTTGTACCTCTTAATTAATTGAGATTGCATTTCAGGCATCTCGAGGAAATCACCGAGACTTAAAATAGATATAAGGTAAGTTGTTTCACTTAATAAAAAAACATATATATCTCAGATATAACAAACATTCAGTTGAAATAATTGTAGATGCTTGAAAGATAAATAGCCGTGTATAAAGCTCTTTGCGTAATTTAAATTAAGAGAATCCCCCACAAAACTTTCAAAATCATGAAGTTCACGGCATGATTCACTTGACGTCATACAGTATATTTCATACATTCACGCCATTGTCTATAACAGCATATGAAGCATATTTTAACACTGAGTGTGAATATGTAAATCTACTGGCACTATCGACAAAGGCACCTTCTTTATTACAATGTAAACAACTTTTACCGACACATGGCGATATGATGTTGATCAGAACGCTTATTGACATACGTCGGTATCTGTTTAGATGAATAAGTAACAGTGTGTGCGTGACCTGTTTTAAATAGCAAATGTATTTTTTTATTTGAGTTGCATGCGAAACCATGGTGACATATAGCAAAATAGTTGCTGACAGCTGTCGTCACCATTTTGTTTCCATGCTCTAAGATAAGTATTGTGTTTAAGAGAAAAAACGTACGCGCTTAAAAGAGAGAATTAAATCAGTTTAACGAGATGATTGTCGCATTAAAACGGGATAACCTACGTGTTCTAATATCTGAATGAGATAATTTACGCGTTTAAACGTAAGGTTTGTTAGGCGTTTGCAGTGTATATTACAGTACCTGTACATAAATCCAGAGTGCAGCCCGAAAACATGAACACTGGCAATCCGGACTCTACCATAGGAATGCTGACCACAATCTGACTGGTCGTTGGTTCATGTAGTACGTTATTTCGTAGAACGGGCTGTGTCAGATATTTCGAAACTACCTGGTATCCGAAACCTTTTCTTGATAAGGTCATATGACTGAAATGTTCCTCGGACATTGCTCCTATCTCGCAGACCCCGTCATGTTTTGTTCGTGTCACCTTTAATCTTATCTCCTCATTTGCTTTCAATAGTCTGTTTCCAAAACAAACAGACGTATCCTCAATGTTACGTCTAAAGGTAGATTTGTCTGCACTAAGCAGCTCCGATTGACACCCTTCTGTATCATCACTAAAGGTTAGCTGATCTTCCTTTTCACCACCTAAAATAAAAATTGAAGTCAATCAAATCGAAAAGCTGCAAATGTTTATGATATTAAAATATAACATAAACAAAATATGTTTTATAGCACATTTGTCATCCTGCTTATGTAAACAAGTGGTTCTAAACAGTGCGGTTAAACAATGTTTGAATTGGAATACACTTGAGATCAAAATAACATTGAGCAAAACATGTTGGAAAGAATATCCGTAGCAGATATTGATATAGAACGGTTTATAGAGTGCGCACTTAATCACATAATCCAATGATGTAATATAGCCTGTTTCAGTATGAGTATGTTTGTTCCTTTTCAAATCAAAATGACAGATATACTAACACGGTAACTCTAACATACCTTCTGTCACTATGGTAATTAAGCTGATGTTTCCCTGAACGTTTAAAAAGAGGAGCCATGGCTTCTCTGTGTCATTCTCCACAGCTCTCAGTCGTCTAGTATGACCATCGCCTGGTTTGCTTTCTTCTTCCAAAAATAGATCGGTGGTACCGCTGCCTGACATGAACATACCATCCTGAATGTGCATGCAGTAGATATGCGTGTTGTATGTGTCTTTGTCTAACGTAATTTTAGTTTGTTGTACAAAAGTCTCTGTATTCTGGGTCACAAAGATGTCGACTTTTCCTTTTCCCTCCACTATCAGTTTGTATCGCCGACCAGGCACTAACGACGGGCGTGTTCGTAAAACACATGTTCCAAACGCCTGCTCCTGTGCAGACTTACTGTCATTATGTACTTGGGCATTTACTGAATGGCAGGCACTAAATTTTAGATCCACGGTTTCCATCTTGTCATCTTTAAAAGAAAGCAAATTTTATATAAAAAAAAAAATAATCCATTTTAGCATACCATTCTACATACAACATTATATGCTCTACTGTTTAAAGTGACTTGATACAGAGAAGCCTGTATGACCCAATGTGAAAGCTAGGATATAATTCTTCCAAACCTTTATTTCGATCAAACGCAAGAATCACAAAAACTATTAGTAGTTTTTCCTTCTATTTACAGTGCACAACACCAGAACAAAAACCATAACAAATATTAAGATATCTACTCTTTCTAAACTGATATACGCAGCTCCCGTGCGAAGAATTGAACAAGTTATTCATGATTGAATGGTATGCACTTGTGACTAGTGGCTTCTTTTCAGTGCTTAAATGAAGGCTGAGACTAAATCTGAAATACGCTCCTATATGAAAGCACGGTGTGATTTACAGATACCGCCAAAACAGAAACATGCAGAGGTGTGTAGCATAAAAGGCACCTCCGCCATCACACTGAAAACAGGTGGACGAACACAGAGAGGACACACAGTTGATGCAGAATCAAAGAAGAAAATAACTGCTGTGAAAGCAATAACTAAGGACGACGATCGCAATGGGCGGATTGGTCGAGTGGTTAACACTCCGGCCTTCCACGCAGGCGACCGGGGTTCGATCCCCGAAGTCGCCGTACGCATGGATATTCAGAGAAAGTGTTTTTCTCCTGCCAACACACCTCCAACAATCCAGGTGGAGTGGAAATGGTCTGGGGCGGATGTTGCGGTATCTGTGCTGTAGCATTCAAGTGAGGTGGCACTATAAATGATACCGTTAGAAGCACGGTCCCACTACAAACAGAACACAATACATCTCCAGTACAAACACAGGCATAACACACATAGGGAGATATCAGTCAGGTGGCATAGGACTAGTAGTTAGCGCCTGATAAGGCAGCTCCTGCGAATTCTTCAATATTGTATTGATTGATGTATATGATAATTGTATTGACTGTATAAAACAGTATCTCTATGTACAGTAAAGCGCTTTAGAGTGGCTTATGTTAGCTAGATAGGGCGCTATATCAAATGTTGTATATTTATTTTATTTCATTTATTTATACTGTTTCTGAGATAGCTTATAAGGTTGGCACTGCCATGTAATCTTCAAATGGCAGCACACATCACATTCTGATCAAGTGCTTGAAATTAGTAACACTTTGTGCCCGATAAATCCCCCGTTTGAAGGCATCTGAACAAAATGCAAAGAAATGTGCTTAAAATATATTGAACTAGAATTATGTCAGTGTGACATTACAGCCGCTCACCACTTTAAATCTAATTGCTTCAGTAACACGTTGAGCATCAATGTCTACTAAAATACCTCAGATATGTGTTCTGTATTCTGCTAATTGAAAATCAGGTCATGTGATGATGTTGCCTTTGGGATTTTCAAAATCAATCGCCTCTTATTTTCACCCTCTTTAAGTGTGACGCATTGTTGTAATTTCATTAAATAGCATCCTCCAATGATGTGACATGAGCATTTACGTGCAGAATGGCAATCGGTGAATGGATAATAAAGAATAGGTGCATTTTGTGCTTGTGAAATGAAGGTTAATTAACAGTAGTGGGAAAACATGGAGAAAAGAGACATTGTACTATTTTATTTTTATTTATTTTTTATTCATATCAATATATAATTATTAATATATGTAGCGACTATATTTACCGTCATTGAATATACAAAATTTCACAAATGTTCTTGGAATATATTTGAATTATATTTCTCAATGTGACTTTAACAACGTAAGAGTTATTTCCCTTACACCGAATTGGATACTATTTTGACACGGCGCGGCTATTGTGTCATGTTCTTAAATTGTTGCACTTTCATAAATCAATACACAAGAAATAGCATGCTGTGTTACAGAAATGTTTGATAAACATACACAGTTCACATATCGTCTCGTCTCAGAGCCATTACCGTTATCATCCTAAGCACGATATGTCATATTACGTTCCCGTTTCAAACATCAAAATAGAGGTTATACTTCATCACTCATACGGTTTATAGGTATATACATTTACTTCTTCCTTCTACAGATAAAGTCAATGCTTGAAAGTCTTCACTTGTGCTTTCTCGTATCATATGTGTTTCACACGCGTAACACTCCTCAGACCGCAATCCGAGTTGCTAAAACGCTCAAACCTAGTGCACGAATTTCACCACCACAACACTCGTAGAATGCACCGGAGATGAACATTTTGTTTTCAGCAATTATTTAAAGTTTGGATTATTATTTTGAGAAGAGTATCAGAAGACTTTATGTAACCCACAGGTTAGTGTCAGAGATTCTACTTTCTATTTACGATAACGAAACGATATAGCGGAAGCATGCACGACTGAATTATGCGCACGCACCCCGAACGGAAGTGGGTCCGTCATTTCGTTCTCTGGACAGAATTAATAAGCCGCCCGGCTCTCGCCAGGAGCGGCTTAAAAAGTACGGTTATTGCGACTCAAGAAAGTTATTTCAGTTACTAACTCAGACCTGGGTCTTTTACACTGCCAAGGTTTACAGATACAAAGTACTGAAGCCTGTTAAAAGATTCTACATGAAAAAAAGCGTCCAAGTGAATGGTTGAATGGCATCCTGGTAATTCATGTCAATTATATTTCATCCTACAAAACCAATATTGAACAGGTGCTTTTAAAGCAAGCAAGATAAAGTAGTACGGATTGACCACCCACCCTATAACACACCAGATCTAAGTCCCTGTGAATTCTTTCTGTTTCCTTTCCTTAAGAAAATGCTCTCTGGGAAAAGGTATGCTTCTATGAGTGTTTTGCCAGTTTACGAAGGGGAGACTTCCACACAGCGTTTACATCATCGATAGAGCGAATGCGAAAGCATATTTCTGCTCAGGGGGATACGTTTTTCCCGGTCCTGTTCCCTCCAAAAAATGACATCTGAGAACGAAAACACGGACCGCAGAATCGCAGGTAACATACTGTCTATAAAGATTCATCAGACCAGATTCAGGCGTTTCAAAGTTATTGCCCAAACAAGAATATGGACCTGACTGACGGAAGAATGGATCAAAATTGCGCAATCCTAGACCTAGCCTTACCTCGATTTAACCGGTAGTGGACTAATAATCAAGACATTGCCTAATATCAAGATAAAACCATATATCTGTGTTTACATCCAAGTATTGCCCGATAGAATTCGTGTATTATACAATAGTTATAAATCAAACATTACACTGCTCAACATGTGCCATGACAAATGAATTTATGTATTGATTAATACAAAGGTTTTTATTTATATGAAATGTCTAGAGCCGATACATATTAGATACGTGTTAATGGGAAATAGCATACCGACTACAGATTCATACTAAAAATAAACATTGTTATTTGTTATTCTGATAATGTACACATGCATTCAGTATATACTTACTGTCAGGAAATGGTTGTCCTGTAATATATAGGTTGATCTAACAGAAGCAGCGTGTTTACCAACCACCCGTTACATGTCTATTTACAATACTTACCTGTTCGTTGATATTTTAAATGTCACTTCATACTCTATAAAACTGGCACTTTAGCTCGAATGAATAGTGGGAAACGGTTCAACAAACATAGCCTTTATCGGTTAGATAATAGCATGGAGTTCTGTTGTCTTCCTTGTACAGAACGGGCGTGTTTGTGTGTAAGTATGGCGTGTTTCTTTAAATAGATATTCCATTGTTCAACATGTACATTTATAACGGTACTGGGAAAACCATTCTGAAGTCTACACTTGTGTTATATCCATACCTTTTCTCTGTGTTAGTTTGTGAGTACTTCGAAGGTCGGAATGAATTTTGTTATCTGACAAAAGAACTGTGACGATTCTAAAATATTGTCCTACATGTTCAAGCTTACTGGAAACGAGATATACATTGCACACTCTTCAAACGATCGGTAGGATATGGTCAGATTTTCCACCATGAAACGACGTCGGTATTTGTTCTATTACTAACATGATGATCTAGAAAACATATACTTACCTTCAGAAAAGGGTGGCTCTCGATCGTAAAGGCTGATCTAATGTTACTAGCATACCAGGTATGTATCTAACACTCGCTATAAACTCCACGCTTGAACGCATTATTACGAAGGCCGATAGCAGCCGTCTAAAATATCCTTCTTATAACACTGAAAAGTGCAGGTGGTGTCAAACACTATTTAAAAGTAAATGTTTATGACAAATGTACATTTTCTTTAAAATCCTGATTATTAAAGCACATGATATAAATGTGAGAACTGAACGTTATTTAAATGAATTGAATTGTCTCTCATACACGACAAGATAATTCATCACACGGCAATTTGTGTAATATAAGAACGTTGATATATCAATGGTTTGCAGTTACAGATATCCATATTTCCTATACAATTTTCAATGTTTCGGTTCTGTAGCCTTATATTTCTTTCATTTACATAAATGTGCGACAGGAAAATAGGCCAGGAAATGTGTGAAGAAAAACGTTTAGGTTTACATTAGAATATTAATGATGTGACGTCAAGAAATGAGAAATAATCAGTTGAAAATCATGGAAAATATTGTAATAACCATGTAAAAAGGAATAACGCGATAACTTTTCGTGTGCAAACTAAGTTTGGAAAATGGAAAAATGGAAAATCGTCTGGACTGGTTTATATTTATCCAGAAATCTCGGCAGAAAAGTTGTACTTAAAATTATAGCCAGTCCGAGCGAATTTTCATTTTGTTTCTGGGCTAATTCTGGACTCTCTCATATCCACAAAGGTATGATAGGAAACAAAACACTCAAGATATAATATCTGTATTTGTGCAATGCCTTATCAAGCCTCAAGTTTTAATTAATTTGAAAACCCTGCTGGTTAAATTTATAATATAAACAAAACAACTATATAAAAAAAACAAGGCTGATTATATTAGCTGTAAGAAGTACTTTCAAATCCGGGAGATTTTCTAAAGTTTCGGAATACTGTCTAGTAAATTACTTTTGGTGTCGCGGCCGGCAAAGGCCTTAATTTTATTCATAATTGTTAACCAGAAATGCATCGTCAAAAGGTATGTGAATGGTCAGTAGAGGCTTTAAGCACCCGAATGTATTTCTTAATCCCCAGTAAGTAATAAAAATCAAGATCTGTAAAGTGTTAAGCCTTGGCATGACTGTTTACTTTGAAACTGACAAAAGCTACACTTTTCAGCGGTAATAGTAGGAGCGTTTTGACAGCCGCTATCGGCCATCGTACTTTCTTGATACTTTTGTAATAAACACCCGAATATATGTTCTGTAGATAATAGCGAGGGACTCTATTATCCTACTTGTAACGGGTGTGTGCATACCTATGACGTGTCTTCCATAAATAGACCATTGGAAATTTACAGTTTTTTGGTACGAATATAATGATACCGGGAAGTCCATGACCTAGTTAATACATGTATTGAAACGATATTATGATGCAACACGCCGTGTGCAAATGAGACGTCTACATTTGAGGTTTTTTATAACATGTTCAGTCGGTTTTTGTTTTGGCTGGTGGCGCAGTAGATAGACGACCGGTGTTTGAACGTGAAAAGGTATTGGGTCACCTGCCCGACCACATGAGTTTTCTCCGGTTACTCTGGTGTCCTCCCAACGTAAGACCCTCTACATGCGTTATTCCATCCATTGTTTCATATAATGGTTGTAAAAATAAATGATTACCTATTGTTCAGATGTTCAGAGTTATTGTCCAATGATATGAGTATAAGATAAAAAAGACCGCAGATTTGGACACTCCTATCTAAATATAGACGAAGCAGTTGAACTTGGAGTATATTTAAGTACTTCACGATAGATTGGTACGAGACAGAATGGGAACAGACAGGTAAAGATTACAAATCAAAGAAAATCAAATGGGTTTTGATATTTGTAGAAGAAAACGCTGACTTCAGAAAGAACAGATAGTCACACCCCTTTACGGTGATGCAATTTCAATTAAATATGCTGATAATTGTTGAACTAACTATGGACCAAGAACTATCAACAAACTCTACATACTTAGAGCACAAGAAACAAAACTAGTACTTACTTTCAGAAAAATGGTGTCATCGAGCGTCAAGTCTAATTTAACGCTACCAGCTTGTTTTCGTATCACACGCTATGTAAACATCGTTATTCCACAAAAATAGCACTATGTACTGAAATTTGCGAACGGTATGCCGTGGTTATTACTTCCATCGGCCAATCAAATACCGTGTTTGTCTCAGATGAATTAGAAAAGCTTATACCAAGGCCACGTGAGGTTCAACGTGTATACATAGTGTGAATATAAAGAGGGCGAGTATTGATATATTACCTCTGGTTTACAATGTTAACTGAAATCATGATACTCTTTACCTGTTTTATAACCTTACCCGAACTTCTGTACAGTCAATATACAATAACAACTGTTACAATGTAGTTTTATTCAATATATGTATGCAAGCAATACATTACTCCTGACTACTCAGATCAGTATTTCGGTATCCCCGCTCCCAACATACACGTGAGATCAAGCTTAATATCGTGTTATGAGCATGTTTTATTGTTTGCGGTATTCCAAGTTATTAATCAGTACCTGTTCTCCTATTGGGCGTCAGGCTATTACTGAAAATGCTATGTTCATTGAACATTTTATAGCAATGAAGTAACCGAGTTCGCTTTTTTTATGTCCAATCGTCGTTCTACAGTTTTATGCAATGTAACTTAATCTAATATAATGCTCTGTTTTAACTGAACACTTAATCAGTGATATGAATTGACATCAAACGTAAAAAAAAACACCCACTTGTATAGCTTATGCTCATCAACCCAAACGTCTGAGTTTGCCAACCCAACTAATGGCATGTTGAATGCTCTGAAAGTTTCTGGTACAGTGGTGTGCGAATACTTCATACTGCCAAACCGACGACCCGCGTAGCGACACTTGGCATGTGGAATATTGTCTTACATTTCAATAATTTCAAAAATGACAGTACAACATATTCAGGAATTATTATCAATGAAATGTTACCATGCTAACAAAAGAAAGACGCCCAACCCTACAAATTTCGACTTTGATGCAAGTTGCACAAATGAGCATATCGTTCAATTTTGACTTTGAGCTTAAAAATTAGCCCTGCATTTCAAATTTGAGGGTAGATAACTTTTACTGTGCGTGTATGCAACACTAGTCTATAGGAAAATTGTATACAGGTACCATGTTTTTATTAACCCGTTATCAACCAGTAATGCAAATATAATGTTCTTCTATCGTAAAAAACCAGAATAGAAACCAATAGTTTTAACTTTAGAATGATTTAAAGGCACAGTGATAAAAATACGATGAGTCAGATACATCTTTTTGCCAATCTGAATTGTACTTTTATTAATTCCCCATAATAAAAATTACACGAGACTTGACATTACATTCGAAGATGGTAAAATATATCTTTTTTATTACAATTTTTTATTCTGAAGTGGTGAAAAGAGATTTCCCTAAGCTGGATTTTGTAGATATTATTTTATGTTACATACGACCACTCCTTTCAGCCGGCACTTTACAACATTTAGAGATATGCCTTTCTTCACAACCCATTTCAGCCACCAGTTACCACCCCTAATATTGATGACTTGTCGCGCACTAGCCAGGGGCACTAACTGGAGTATTTTTTTTGTCCCCAGAAGACGTTTTTTTTAGACAAGTTGAGCCGTTAAACTGTCAGTTTACTAACCCAACATTGATAAAACTGTCCTCACAAAACAAGGACAGAGGAAATGGCGAATGACACATCAACCATTGGTGTTTCAGTAACTCAACACTGATAATTTAGTTCCATGTTTCGTAAAGAGACAAAATACAATAACATACATATTATTTGTTTTAGGTTATAAGTTGCAAGATCATTAAAAGAAGCATTGGCATTGCATGTGGGTTTTTCTTACTTGACACACTTTACACCTTGATGTAATGATTAATGTCAAGATCTTGTCGTGTTTATATGAATGCTTTGAAGGTGTATATAAAATCAAATGATATATACTGAAGAGAAAAAGAAAAGCAGGGTAAATGTTTGTTATGATTTGAAGAATTATATAAGGTGTCAAGAATCATCCGCATAAACAAATTTCATTAGTTATTGAACCAAAGTTGTTTAGGGGTGTGAAATCTTACAGCCATCAAGTTGCCCTGCAATACAATCAAAGGTGATTTTACACCATGAGAGATTCCTCCCCTGACCATAACTGATCCACTGCCAAAGCCTCGCGTAACCGTTTGTTTTCTCACAGTTTTCGGGTGAATGGAACAATTATGAGTGCCTACCGTATTACGAGCGGTCCCAGCTGTAGTTAGAAGACGGTTACGTAGATGCACAAGACGAATGGTCCTGTATCCCGCGTGGAAGTCCAGATAACGGTCGGTGGACAACGCGCCCAGTCCCCCTAAAACGTCTTACAAGACGGTCTATGGTGGAAATGACTAGCATGCATTTGGGCCTACAGTAGTTTACTGCAACTGTCTACCTCATTTCAATTTTTATCAGTCGAATCATAATTAATAGACAAAGGAATGGAATTGATCAGCGACGTGTAGATCTATCTGTAAAGAGTACCGAGTGGTATGACGGGATGCATAAACATTTTTTTTTTTACCGACGATATAATGCAATTTGTCTTACCCTGCAATCCATTGACGATATAATGCAATTTGTCTTACCCTGCAATCTATTGACGATATAATGCAGTTTGTCTTACCCTGAAATCCATTGACGATATAATGCAATAATTCCTTAGCATGCCTTTCTTTTACCCTCTGTATATATTGGTTGTGAAATAATCTAACAAATTACATTTAAACATTAAGCATTGTTGTCATATACAAGTACCAAGAGAATTTCTCGTTATTGATATTTACTATGATGAAACATCCTTTATTGAATTTAATATACCTTATTAAGAATCCAATGTGACTGTATGTTTCTAAAACTACATCGAGAGAGTTTCGTAATCAATAACAAAATGTAAATTGCAAGGAACAAACGCCACCAAACATGTTTAGTAACTATAAATCAGTATTAATTCATTCAAGCTTACTATTATATGAATGACTACTGTTTTCTATTTTCGCATTTTCATTACATTCGTTTGCGCCTTCTCTCATTTATACTGGGTATGCAAAGAAATTGGCATATATATTTTATGTGTTGCCATTTTACTTCAAAGTGTAAGTCCATGCCGTTCTGTCTATGATTTCTTCTGACGGTATGAACATACTTAACGATGTTTGGCTGACATTTTCTCAATTATTGTTGCAAGTATGGAATTTTTAATCAACAGTATAAACTATTATGGGGTTTTATTTACTGTGTACATGTTATCTTGCCTGTTCCTGTACAGAAACTAACTAAAAATGTATCTGTGTTATGTAATGGTATGGTTTTCTTTGTTTTGTTTTGTATCCGTGGTTTCAAATCTTTCCAGAATATTTATACTCATTCTAGTTTACCTTCAACTACTTATTTAAAGTATATCTGGAACCAGCGTACGAAAATAGGGTGGTAGCCTCTGAAATAACAACTGTTATGATGTTTCATGTCCATAAGGAGACTAATGTGAACGTATTAGTTATTACTTGTATCAATGAGGAAGCAATGCTTTAGATATTGTTTTAATATATATTATCCACGACGTTGAATCCGGACACACCAACAGTTAAAGCAGGAGTTGTCTCCCATCGACACGGAAAAGATTAATTTGGCATATGAAAATATTTGATAAAAGACCACGACGAGATTCGAACTCGCAATCCTCCGATCAGAAGTCGGGAGCCTTATCCAGTTTGGCCACGTGGTCTTGTTTTATAGACCCAAACTATATATTAATATTTACATTTGCACTGCATAGTGCCTAGATAACTCTACTGGTCCCATTGTAACATATTTTCCAATGAACTACAACGGGGATTAGGTCAGTGTAGTGATACATAATTTCAACGGAAAACACAGTCATGCCCACCACAGTTTTAACAGAAAGCACAGCATCACACTTGTCTACTCCATCTTCTGCATATCAGTCTAATTCGTCTTCATTCACGTCAGGTTTCTTGAGTAATTCTACCTTTCACAGAGTGTTCATTTACCTTTGGTAAACAGTGAAAACTTTCAATAATGGCCGCCTCCGCCAGCTGATCCCTGACCTAATTACCGCCAAGTGGCGATGTTCCGCTGTGTTGTGTCTTAAAATGTTATTGTATGACACTTAAATCGCTAAATGACCACAACATATATTAAAATGGTCACATGTTAGTATACAAATTGGTAATTGACATATATGCATTAAATTAAAAATAAATCAATTATTAAATTGATGTGTTAAATGTGGAACTTTCTTGTTTATTGTTTTTGTCGGCCTGGTTGCCATTGACAACGACTGTGGAATGCGAAACTACCCGGCTGTTCCGAACAATTTACCGCTGACCCAGTCGGTGTGTATAAAAAGTTTAAAACAGCAATTACAATACTCGCAACATTGCACAACTAATATTGTTGGTTTGGAATATAAATATAAGGATTGGTTGTAATATTTTTGACATTTATTGGCGTGTAAACTACATCGGGCTTGCGATATATTTAAAATGGTGCGCGTTATCGCAGGCCGATGTAGTTTACACGCCAATAAACGTCAAAAATATGACAACCAATCCTTAAATGAACACACGGTGATTCGATATGACTTGATGGTGAAACACCGAGATAATATATAAAAAGAGCATGGTTATTGAAGGATGTTGCAATATGTTGTAATAGTTATTTCTGGATATAAATGTGAGAATTGCGCTATAAGATTTGACATGAGATTGTTAAAATAGAAAGTCTTTTATTACATTTCCCCATCAGAGATTTAAGGAGGATTGCCAACCTGAATTAACGCCATCCACAACCACCTAGAATACTCTCTTTTTTTACCTTTGAAATTAGCATACGGAATACTTCCGAAATTTTCCGAAATTTAGCGTACGAAGCAGTTTTGTCAGCCCTCATACAGTAATTAGCCATGTTTAATATGTGTATACAAATATGAATTATCTATTGTGAAGAGGCAACATTCCGTCAAAACTATCCCTAAATATGTAAAATGTCAAAATATCTTCTCTCGGTTTTTTTTCTACTGAGATAATTGAATTGCAAAAGCAAAACTATGTTATAGGTTTAGATTGTTCTATTTCTTTTTCTATATTTCCATGTACATTGTAATCAATACCTGTGGAATTTATTTTTTCTACCGAGACTATTGAATTGCTCAAAAACAAAAACCTATGTTCTTGCATACTAGACCGAGATATCCGCATTTCCGGCAGTGCTGGAATAATAGAATCTAACTATCAGGTGTGGGAGTAAATTCTATCCGACCCATGGGTCTAGATCGCTTACACGAGCAGACTGGCGGGAGAATTATAGTGACCTTTTGGGGTCACGCTATTGTTCGTGACGTCATTTTATGACGTTTCGGGGTCAGTCAGGGTAGGTAATAAGCAAGTAATAGAATCCATCCCTGATATGAGGTAAGGATAAGGTTATTCTAACCCTCGGGATAAAAATTGTTCATCAGCCATTTATTCAGGTATGATAAATTGATTTCATATAAAAGTAGGGGGCTAGTTTGAATAACCTTATCCATACCTCTCATCAGGGATAAATTATATTATTATACCTAATTCAGTAATAAGGACGACTATGAAAACAGTTTAGTTGAAAATAAGATATGAATAAATAAATAATCTGCCTTTTTTATTGATAAATATCAGATGTTATATTTAATAGAGTGATAATAATAATAATAATATACAACATTTGATATAGCGCCCTATCTAGCTAACCTAAGCCACTCTAAAGCGCTTTACAGTACATAGATATACAATTTTACAATCAAAATATACAATACAATTTTGAGGAATTCGCAGGGGATGTCTTATCAGGTGCTAACTACTAGTCCTATGCCACCTGGCTAATATCTCGATAAGTGTTATGTCTGCGTGTGTGCTGGAGATGTGTTGTGTTCTGTTTGTAGTGGGACCGTGCTTCCAACGGTATCATTTAAAGTGTCACCTCACTTGAATGCAACAGCACAGATATCGCAACATCCAACCCCGATGAAGTTGTGTGGGCAGGAGAAAAACACTTTCTCTGAATATTCCATGCGTACGACGACTTGGGGAATCGAACCCCGGCCGCCTGCGTGGAAGGCCGGAGTGTTAACAACTCGACCAATCCGCCCATACTATTAATAGTTTTCACAGCGTCATGATGACACAAAAATGTTTTATAGTGACGAACAATATGTATATTTCATTGAGCGAACAACATCACTCTTATTTAATTAATTACTCGAAATTATCACCAAACAAGATATATGCACATGTACATACAAATACGCTTTATTGTGTTTATAACATTTTCAATGACTCATAATCATTTTTACATGTTACCATGTAAAAATGGTAAAAATGCATCAAAATTAGTCTTGTAAAATATCACTTTCTCTCGTTGTGAAAAATGAAGAGAATTTCAATTTCTATAAGTTCGATGTTAGTCATAGATTGACCTAATTATGTATAAACCGTCCGGGATCCAGCGTATTATAATAGGGTAGTATCCTCTGAAATAACAACTCGTATAGTGTATCCATGTCCAGTGGGACACTTCTGTGAGCGTATTTTAAAATTATCACTTTTAACAATGAAGAAGCAAAGCTTTAGATATCAAATTAATATTCATACCAACAGTTAAAGCAGGAGTTGTCTCCCATCGACTGGGAAAAGATTTTGGCATATGAAAATATTTGATAAAAGACCACGACGAGATTCGAACTCGCAATCCTCCGATCAGAAGTCGGGAGCCTTATCCAGTTTGGCCACGTGGTCTTGTTATACAGAACCCGAACTAAATATTAATGATCAGACGATGACGTGATGGTGAAATACACAGAAATTGTATATCAAAAGGACGTGGTTATTATAGGATGATGCAATATCCTGTAATAGGTATTTCTGATATAAATATGAGATGTGTACAGTACAGCTCTTCGATTGGTGTAATACAATGAAATAGAAAGTCTTTTCATTTCATATCCCCGTCAGTGAAATATGGAAGATTGCTAACCTGAAGAAAGTCATTACTTTGTTAAGACTATGATATCGCCCCTAATGATGACATGTATATGTTGACTACTTTATTAGGTAAAGTAAAATTCATTTTCTTATTACAAATGAGGCTGCCAACACCAACAGCAACCACCTAGAAAAACTTCCTAAATCTCACGAAATTTAACGTACGATTGTCAGCCATTATAATTAGAATATAGTCATGTTTAATGTGTGTATACAAATATAAATGTTCTATTGTAAAGAGACAGCACGCCGTCAAAACAATCCCCAGATATGTAAAATGTCAAAATATCTTCTCTCGTTCTTTTTTTTTCTACTGAGATAATTGAATTGCAAAAGCAAAACTATGTTATAGGTTTAGATTGTTCTATTTCTTTTTCTATATTTCCATGTACATTGTAATCAATACCTGTGGAATACAGCGACATTACCAACTGATAGTAACACAAAATCTTGAACTGACTTATCTTTATAATGAATATCGCTGCGAACACATCAGTAACCGACTTTTCTACCTTCAGTATGATATACCCATGAGCATGTTTACCTATACACAGTAATGACTAACCTAATTCACCAACATTAATGAGGACGACTATGAAAACAGTTTTGTTTGAAAATAAAATGTGAATAAATCAATAATTTTATTTTTTATTTTTGAGTACCAGCTGGCATATTTCATATAGTGATGAATACAAGCTAAATTCAATGTAATTAACAACAGTTATAAGTCACTGTTTAATAAAACGAACATCAGTTATGTTTCATTGAGAGAGCTTCATTTTCAATGACCATAACGTTGCATTGGGCCATAATATTATAACGTCGTTTTAATGTAAATACTTCTTTTTGGACGGATTACTCCGAACCCGCACACATTTGATTACAATCCTATATTAAGCATTTTATAATTAGACAAACCAGCAATGTAAGCAGGAGTTGCTTCCCATTGACGGGGAAATATAACTGGGTCTGGTAATGAACAAAACAATTAGATAAAAGACCACGACGAGATTCGAACTCGCAATCCTCCGATCAGAAGTCGGGAGCCTTATCCAGTTTGGCCACGTGGTCTTGTTATACAGAACCCAAACCAAATATTTATGATCACACGATGATACACATTATTTTACAATTATCTTTAGAAAATAGCAGGATGATGCAATACCGGTAGGGTGCAATAGGTATTTTTGTACATTAATATGAGGGTTTTTCAGTTAAAAGATTATCTCTGATTTGCCATTTCACTGTTAAGAATAGAAAATGTATTTAAATGAGAACTTTCTATTCACTTCAATCTTTTAATTACACACTTTTTGTATATTATTTTAGGGATGTATCCAGTTTTCTGGCAATGTTATACAAGGTTCCGTATTATACACTGTGGTAGTACAAGGTGGTGTATTATACACTGTGGTAGTACAAGGTTCCGTACTATACACTGTGGTAGTACAAGGTTCCGTACTATACACTGTGGTAGTACAAGGTTCCGTACTATACACTGTGGTAGTACAAGGTTCCGTATTATACACTGTGGTAGTACAAGGTGGTGTATTATCCCAGTGACCAGAATTCCTTCTTGGCTGGAACTAACAACTTGTTATCCAGAGAGTGAATCGAGAAATAGAATTAAGAATGGGTTCCTAACATTTAGGCTATTTTACACTAAGGCAACGTGACGTTATCATTCTGTTCCCGTCGACGTTTTGTCGGCTATTGTTGTTCGGTTCAACATCTCGGTAACAGCATTGTTATGTGAGGTAATAATTGAGAACGTTGTCCCAAAAAAATATAAGATGAGATCATTGTGCCAATTCTTACATCCATGAGTGCTCATAACTTGGATATCTCAAAAGTCAGATAGGAGACAACCAATAATTGAACAAGTGATAACTAAATATTTATCTCCCTTTCGAATTAAATATTTTAAGAATAGTATCCATTAATGAAATAACAATAATATGAGGCCCTGTTATTTACGTCAGATATTGAGACATAAAAGAATTAAGTAAAAACATCTCCTCGCAAAAATACACTAGAAACTTACTTCAACGTCAGAAAATATCCTAAATGCACGTGAAATGATGCAGGAATCAATTGGGTAGCAACGGATGACGTTTATTACGTCTGTATTGCTAATTCTGAGCTTCTTTCTGTTGTCTTTTTTAAACTGTCTTTTGAACTCTCTTTTCCTCATTGTTTTCTTTTTTCATCTTTCAAATATACAGGTAAAAACTAGGAAGTTCCCTTCCCACTGTAGATCGTCTTTCTAGGAGCTGCTGTCATGTCTTAGTTTGACTGTGCTCTTTGTTGCTTCAGAATATGCATGGGGTTAGGTGTTTTTACGTGGAGTGGGGAGTGCTATAAGGCATACTTTGTGCAAGTGGAGAAATGGGAAGTGGTCGTTGACATTTAGGACGTGGTTTCGGTGGTGTGACTGGCTGTTCTCGGACGAAACCAGACGGTGATCCTCTTAATGGCGTCGAGGTCAGATTTACCCGGGCACCACTGAAAGTCAAACAGAAAACAGTTCTGTCACTATTTACATAAAAACTTTGAGAGGGTTGCTTTGCTATATTTTTGTCATTACGATGAGGTATTAAAAAACGAAAAACTTTATAGATGATAGAAAGGGTAGCCAAACCTGTAATGTTGCGTGAAGGAGTTGTCAGAAGACTTGTAACCAGATGCATTGAAGAGCTCCTCTTCAGAACTACTACTTTCACTTCCACTGTCGATTGAAAAATTGTTGGATTCGTCTAATCTGAAGGAACAACTTTATATACAGAACATGTTTCGTAATACTGCTGGAGTTATCTTGTGGATATCATTATCAGACAAACGAGAAGAGCACATGGAAGGTAACGGTCAACCTCGCAGTCAGACTGTATATTTCGTACAATTGGTAGTGACTGATTAGATACAGTACTGAATATTTACAGTTAATATCTGATTCTGGGGTCGGTGTTACTTACACACTGACCACATAACGTGAGCCATTTCTAAGTTTTCTTGGGTTGTGGAGCTGAGACAATCTTACGTACACTGGAGCCGCACATCTTTTTCCCTTCAGGGAACAGAAACTTAGCTCGGTCAGGTCTATGCAACGCTTCCGCCTGAAATGATAAAAATTACACCAATTTTTGGTCACTACTCATCAATATGTAGTACATGCGCGCTTGTCTTTAACTTGAACAAAAAAATCAGTGGTTAATGACTTGTAGTATGTTTTAGGGTTTGAAGTGGGTGGTATTTCTTAATAAATTCACAAACTTATAACGATATACTGCATCTACTTTTGAACATTCTAATATTCAACATCAACATGCTCCATGTTTTAAAGTACTTTGCATTGGCTTTCGTGTTTGATGAATTAATTGACAGTTCCCTTTACCATAGATGTCCATAGAACTAACTCTTAGAGAAACGGGATGCAATTTCCCGATTTATTTTCTTCAAAATCAAAAATATTTTCCCCGTTAAAAATGATATTATCATCCCATCACAATAAATAAGCTCAACTTCAAATAAGGAAGAATTTGTGTTACCTATAGTAGCGTCTGGCCAGTTTCCACACCACCAGACTCAACAGTAGTACGGACAGACTTGCAATAGCTCCAAGGCCTGCGCCAAGCCATAAGGTCGAATCTAGGAAAATAACAACGGGATACATTTAAACAAGTTATAACGGTATGAGGTTAAATTTTGTTTCAGTCCCCATTGCAATGATAACGATAATAATAACAACGCAAATGAATAATTACATAAACAAAAAACCGTGAAATTTTACAGAACAACAAAGCTCCACGAACCTCACAGACGACCGTCTAAATTATGACTGATAAGAGCAATAAGTCAGATGTGCACGTCAACACGACAAGACACTTGTCTTATGTCTTGGAGGAATTCTGGCTTGTATCGATGAACATGTATCCCAATAAACAAGACGTTCTTATTAGAACATCGAGTTTGCTACATAATTTTAACATCAATAGGTTAGACAAAGGGAAACTTCAACAGGATGATTGCAATTCCACGCATTGTTGCTTAATATGTGCGATAGCAACACATCTTCTAGTTTGAGTTATAATGGTTAATGACCACCTTTAACAAGTTGAAGATACACAGAGGATAAAAATATAGATAAGAGGTGAATTGGGACATGATGGATAGACAGAGAAAAGGCTATACTGGCAGACCGTACGACAGCCTTTCATGCATTTTGTTTTGAAAATGAGGAGTAACTGCACTGCTTACCTTGGATGTCAATAAGAGGTTTTTCCTGAAGTACTCGCGCGTGTGTTATAGTTGTATTACGCACCACATGTAACTTGTTTTGCGTAGTCGATGCTTTATTTGTTTTCTTACTGTCGTCGTCAGCATTCCTGTTGTACGAAATATCTACTGAGTCTTGGCTATTGACGCTCCACGCAGAGTCCGGGTCAGAGGGCTTCACTTCGACAACGTGATGTCCGTCTCTGCTGGTATGCCACGTGTTTGTGTCGTCGTCGGTGTAACCAAGTTTCTCCAGCAGCTGACGAATTTGTTCAACTCTATCAACTGGTTCAACTCCAGTAGAAGACATGTGATGTCCTGGAAGAGTTAAAAAATATTTATAATATTACAGATAGTAGATTTTGAATTTTGAACCCCATCGACTCGATTAAACAATCACTGGCGTCATCGTCACCAAAAATGTGTACCAACCTGTTACTCACAACCGAACGTGATTAGAGAACAGTATATAGATGCGTCTCAAGAAGCTGGATCAGTTTACGTCGACGTCGACACTACATGAAAACTACATGAAAGACATGTAGCAGAAACCAAACCACTCGGTTGCAGAAAAGAAGAAATGATTATGTTTGTACATTCTGAAGTAACCATTGATAAAGTGATTAAAAACAAAGATTTTTGGAGTGGTAATTGACCATAAATTAAATTTTAGTGATCAAGTAAACGAGTGTGTCTCCAAAGCCAACAGAATCCTCCGACTGATATTCCGGATATTCACATTTATAAACAAAGACATGTTTATCCAATTGTTTAAATGTCTAGTGCGACCACATTGGGAATATGCCACTTGTATATGGTCCCAATATTTAAAAAAGATCAAATTGACACTGAAAATTTCCAATGCAGGGCAACAAGACACCTACAATTCTTAAAAGGACAACCTACAGTGAAAGACTTTGAACACTGGGCCTCCCCAGTTTAGAATATAGAAGATTGAGAGGAGATGTCGAACAAATCTATAAAATCATCAACGACATTGACATTTTGGACAAAGACAAAATTATCAAAATGGATACAAAGGTCATAACAAGAGGAAACTCCAAAAAGCTTTTCAAGAGAAAGATGAGGCTCAATGTAACCAAGAACCTGTATAGTAGTAGGGTCGCGTGCAACTCTCTCTCAAATATAGTTGCAAAAGCCCACTCCCTGGATAGTTTTAAATCCCGGCTAAACAATCACTGGCGTCATCATCACCAACAATGTGTACCTACATGTAACTCACAACCGGACACAAGTATAGAACAGTACCAATATGCGTTCCAAGAAGCTGGACCAGCTTACATCGACGTCGACACTACATGAGAACTACATGAATGGTTTTCTGAATTGTATTCTGAAGGATGCCTGAATGCATTGTGCAGTGGATTCTTTACTTCCAGCAGCTATTGTTACATGCTTATGTACAATATTCGTGTGACGTTTTAGTATTCATTGATGATATAAGTTTCTTCTGCAATTATCAAAATGGTTTGGATGACTAACAAGAGTGCTTAAGTTTTCTACGCTTAGAAAATGTAACGAACAACATGAACGTCAATGGTTAATGGACGACACTTCCCCTCGTCAAAAGTTCGTCTACGTACGTTGGTGTGATGATACAACGAATACGGTCACCTGTACTACAAGTCTGCTTGGTCCCGGAACGCCTAACTTTCGTGATGTTTTGATATCGAAATACGTTTCTTATGATCAACGTTCTAATGTCGATCTCCTACTTGAAACATAAATCAGTTCATGGTGTGACATCACAACACTGTCAGAATATCAAAAGGATGAAAACTTCATCATTGTGGGACCTGATATAGATTCTATCTTCAGTAACTTTTCGAAAATTAATTTTCTTTGTTTGGTTTTAGCATAAAATACATCAAATGTGGCACACAGACAGATAACTGTTTAACGTTTCTTCTGTTAATTTTTAAAAGTTAATTGGTCAGAAAAAATCACTGCAAAATTTAACATGAGTGGGAACAAAGTCAAAGTTTTTTTTCATGCTGGAATGAAAGGTGATATCACAACAACAGATGCACTAATACAAAAAAGAAAAATTACACACGAAATATTGGATAATTCTTTAACAGGATTTCAAGTTTTATTTAAACTGCATTTCAAACGAAGTCGCAAAATAATGAAAATAAAAAGTTCATCAACATAAAATCTAAAAGAAAACTGACGTAACGTGAAATTGTTTTGGCCGAATATGACGTAACCTGAATGACTTGGCTGTAGATCATGAGAGGACAGATATCAAGACTGTGAGATAATCAGTCATTGTCGATTTATCGGCAGGAAAAAAGTAGAATGTATCTTTTAAAATTTATATTCAATAAAGATACGTTACTTTATGAAGTAAAACTTCTTCAAACAATCACATACTTACCGTTTCCAGTCACAAGCGGCAAAGAAATTGATAAGATGGAAAACGCGAACATACAACCATTTTGCAACGCCATTTTAGCAGATAACGATTACGTCATGATGACGTTACAATAACTATGACGTTGCATTTTATGCGATAATCATTACCACTGATGCATCATGTGTACAATGTAAAACCAAATGTTGCCAAAAGTGTCACTGCGTTTCATGTTGTTACCGTTATTCAACCCAATATCAGGACTAGAGTTCTTAGTAAAAGATTAAGAAAGCAATGTTCACACAAGGTTAAACTGCAGGAAATCAACATTAGCTGTAAGAGTAATCAACGATTAAAAAGGCTTCCTCAAGATCTGATTGATGCCCCAGCACATCCGAGTCGAAGTTCACACACTGGAGAGATCGTGAGACACAATTCCACACGACCTGTTATTAGTGGATTATGTCGCCAATCATCCTATTAACTATATAACAAAACTAAATATGCTGTGGTCATTTTAACTTTGTACATACTTCAATGGGAACTTCATATAACGTTTAAAATACTGAGAACGGTGCTTGTACTATGAGACGACCGAGAATCAGCTAATCTCATATCTTAATTACTTGAATAGTAACTTCACAATTGTTCCCGGGCCCTGATATGTCTATCTGTTAGCAAGTTTTTAATAGGCGAATTAAAATAGTTGCCTCACTCCGTTTAATGCAACACAAAATATGAACGTAAAAAAAGTTCAAGCTTCAATTGTGTGTGTTAATTAAGAAAAAAAATGTGTGTGTGTGTATGTGGGGGTGAGGGTGTGTGTGTGTGTNGGGGGGGAGAGGTAGTCCGAATTATTCTGACGTTTTATCGACTTTTTTTTCGATTAATCGACGACAGACCGATATAAAAATAAAAAGTCGATAAAACGTCAGAATTTTTTGGACTAGGGCAAGGAGACTCAAATTTATTGAAATATAAGCTGGATACGTCAATAATAATAAAATAAATAAATACAGCTTTTGATATAGCGCCCTATCTAGCTAACATTAACCACTCTTAAGCGCTTTACAGTACGTAGATATACAATTAATACAATTAGCATATACAATAATCAATACAACTTTTTAGGAATTTGCAGGAGCTGCCTTATCATGCGCTAACTACTATAGTCCTAAGTATGCCACCTGGCTAATATCTCCCTATGTGTGTATGTCTGTGTGTGTGCTGGCTATGTAATGTGTTCTGTTTGTAGTGGGACCGTGCTTCCAACGGCATTATTTATAGTGCCACCACACATGAATGATACAGCACAGATACCGCAACATCCACCCCAGACAAATGTATACTCCACCTGGGTTGTTGTCAAGATGTAGAACTAAAATAATAATAATAATGTGCTGAAGCAAAGACTCTACAATGATGTCATTCCAATATTCCTAGTTCGTTTCACCTTTATAATTAACACAAAGCAGCTTGATATGTCGGCGATAGAAAATAATAGTCTGTGATCTAATTCGGATGTTTCTAGCACCTGCATGACTTTTATTTCAGTGCATTGAAACATATTTGTTTTTATGAAATGCCTTGAACTGCTCCTAATTCATTTAAATCCAGCTAGTATTTTTGATATGATTTTAAGTGGAATTTCTGCAAATCATTACCATAGTTAGAAGAAGAAAAAAAAGAAGAAATAGTTGCTTTTTATTTCTATTTCACTATTCCGTCTTTGCGTATTGCAGAGTTATCTTCTCTTGGGAGCAGGTATTGATTGTTACGTCATTGGTTTGTGCGAGAAAATTACGTCGTTTTCTCAAAAATTGATGACGTTACTCTCACAAACAAGTGACGTAACAATCAATACCTGCTCCCAAGAGAAGATAACTCTGCAATACGCAAAGACGGAATATCAACCATCAAATGTTCGTTGTATTTTGCAGCGGTGAACGGGAGGCAACTCTGAATTTTCATATTATTTCATCCGGGGGGTTTCAAGATGGATGCGCCCAATGTTGACATGTACGATCAGATACTGGACAGGGCCAACTACACCATACCTTACTGGTTAGAAACAAAACAAAAATGGTTTAATTCAAAACATGACTCTCTATTGTTTCAACCCACGATTTATATGTTTATTGTATTGATATTATTTTATTTTGGCCGAGAACACCATTTGACAGACCACCTCCAAACCCTGTATCATGATAGGCTATTTTTAGTTTTGGTTTTCCACGAGATCAGTGTTACTCGGGAAATGGCAAGTGTTTATTTCAAAGAGCACAACTTGCTCTGAAATCAAACCGTAGCATGCAGACATGACAATGCCTTCTTCATACATGACTCGAGAAATCATACACATTCAGATATCACAACACAGCAGATATACCACATGATCAGGTCCAGTACACTCTGCCGATTGAGCTATATAAATGTAGCTGTAAAGACCTATAATACTAATAGCTGAAATAGGTCTTTAGAGCTATTTTCATGTGATTTTCTTTTTTAAGGAAAACGAAACAAAGTCGCTCTTAAAACAGGATTTTATCATTATATTGATAACAAAAGACATCGAAATATAAGTATTCTTTTAAAAAAAATGATGTAAAAAAATCAAAATTTTTACATTTATGAAAAATTAAAATAAACATCTAACTGTATTCTTTTTGTAGTCAACATTACCATAAACCTTATTGTATAATGCGACTTCGCTTTAATTTAATGAGATTTGAAATCTGAGAAAATATAGCTCAATACAGCTATAATTTGTTGGTGAAAATAGCTATATAGGTCTTTATAGCTATATAGCTCAATCGGCAGAGTGTACTGGACCTGATGATAGGACTACAAAGTATGGTAAATACTCATTTCGATCTGAAGCACCTAAAATATGGAATGCCCTACTAGACCACTTCAGAACAACAACTACACTAACACAATTTAAGACACTAATAAACAGCTGGTATGGGCCAAAATGCAAATGCAACATGCAGACAAAACACATAGGCTCACAATACAGTTTTATACATGTTTTTAGCTAAAGCTTACCTCTTATTATGTCACCTGTCTATTAGATAATGCTAATCTTTTAATATGTTTTGCCAAATATTTATTGTGTAACTGTGCATGTCATTTTATGTGTCGGTTTTAATAGCTAATTAGATATAATGTTGTATTGTTTTTAACCATACCGATGTTAAATAAAACTTTCGATTTGATTTGATTTGGGACCTCGTTTCGATTGATACAATACAGGTCCAGTACACTCTGTCGATTGAGCTATATCAGCTGTATATAGCTATAAAGACCTATATAGCTATATAACCTATACATTATAGCTGTATTGAGCTATATTTTCTCAGATTTCAATTTTCATTAAATTAAAGCAAAGTCGCATAAAACAATAAGGTTTTGGTAATGTTGACTACAAAAAGCATACATTTAGATGTGTATTTATAGGTCTTTACAGCTATATATAGCAGAGTGTACTGGACCAGCAATATATCATAAAAGGATAATTTGCATCATTCCTTATTATTATCAATTTATTAAACAGTATTAAAACGAGTTCCTGTGCTTATACAGTACCAGTCTCAATGCATCCTCTCAAGTCAGAAGAAACTAACTTGCCCAATATGTACATGTATATATGATGGTGTACAGGTATCTTTCTGTAAGACATTCAGAACTCAGTTTTTTTTAATGACAATAGAAAAAATTAAATTAACCACAACAAATGGCACCTTCAGAGATATAGGGCATTATCAACTTTAAAAGAGAATCAGCAGAGTTATGTCACTGTTCCCAACATTAAGAGATTATAAAAGCATTTTTTTGGCCCCCAAATTTATATTTTGTACAATCATAGCAAAACAATGTACAGGAACAACACATCTACATATTCATGCATTATAAATTTATAATGACGTCTGAGTGAGAAATGTAATTGTAACCTTGATTGGTATAAAAAAGGATAATTTAAACCAATAATGTGTTTTAAATTATTCATAAGTATATATCATCTACAGCAATTTTGCACAAACATTTCAGGACTAACAAGTAATCATTTTCACTCAGTTTTCCACTTTTAAGTACTGAAACCATTTATATATATTTCCATTTCCACTGCAAGTTCTTTATGCTCATTACCATAGGAAATTGTGTTCATAGGGCTATGAACAAAACTGTATCAGGGTCATTTTGAAGTTTCTCCTCCCAACTTGATTAACATTAGACTACGGTTAGAAGCAAACATTTTGATGACGTTAGGCTGTTCCAAGAATCTAGTTTGCTCTGATCATGACGACACAAAAAAGTAAAAGCAGATCTTTCTTTTATATAGGTAAAAATCTGTAACAGGTATAAAATGAGTGACAATCAGGAGGAAGCTGAGTTGAACAGTGAGGTAGCCAATGGGTTTAAGGAAGAAGATGAGACCTATGATGAAGATGTGGACACTTATTATTTTGAATCTGATCATGTGGCATTGAAAGGAAACCCAGACTATCATATGTTATTGAAGACAATCATATTGTTGGAATCCCAACGAATTCAAGCCCTGAAGGACCTTGACAAATTACATCAGTGTCAAGCAGATTCTTTAAAAGATCCTATAGAATTTGTGAAAAAACTTCAGAGTGGAGCAGATATTGGATTTCCAAGACGACAACAAGTTGCCACAATCCCTAATCTCAACTGGGGCAAGTACACAAAGAATGTTGATTTTTCATCATTGGGTCTGCCAAAGCACATGACCAGACTCAAAAGACAACTTGTTGAAGGAAGTCCAGGTATGTGATCCTTATTTTTATTTCAAATCAACTTTACTGACATTACCAGTACAAACCTACAGTTATACATACACAAGAGGATGCATTTAATAATATCTTTTCAGCAATAATGATGACAATAATATCATAGGAAGAATTAGTACTTACATTTGTTTTTGTAATGGTTTATTGGCATATCAACCAATTTTCCAGTAAAGGATCCCTACCTCCAGGATTGTGAAACAGTCTTAGACTTAAGTTTGCTTAACCAATCAAACATGACGTCACTTTTCGTGACACTATCTGTGATTGGTTAAGTCCAAATTTTAGACAATTTTAGACTTAAGATCATTTCATGATCTCTGGGCCTTAACTACTGCTAAAGTTCCATTATTTTTTCTTACTCTGGCATGACAAGTACTACAGCTTTGAATAAATCAGTTCTGAAGGAAACCCATCTCTTCAGAAACATTTCACAGATGAAATAAAATAACCAAAATGAACGATAAGTTCCAGCAACACCGTTTTTTTGCTTTAAAACAGGAGAATAAAAATGCAATGGGCTCAAACTGGGATTCTAACCGTGGACCTTTGAACTTGAGACAGTAACTGTAACCAATACCGAGTTACATGGTAACCAGAAGCCAGAAGTCGCTTGGCCCACGTTAAATTCAGTTAAATCTAAAACAAACTTATATTTTATGGGGAGATCAGTCAATATAAGGAAAACTGGAATTCTCTAGTGTTTTGCCTGCAATGGAACAAGGTTCCTTAAGTTATTTTGGGCCTTATAATGCAAGTGGCTATCATTGGTTCAAGGGAAACAACTCATATAAAACATTTCATTTTGCCTTAGTTGACATTGGATAAAGATTTGTAGTAGAATAGATATTAAAAGTAACATGATTAATTACTGCTTTTATAAGATCAGCACCTGCATGGTTATACTGGTAGCTCTATGGACCTCTTGATATTGTAACTATATTTGCCAATGTTAGAATCGTACAGATAAATACAAAAGATTTTAGTGGTGTAGTGCAAAATAAAATTGCTGCAAATTTTGTCCATATACAGCACACAGTGGCATGGCATAGATCCCCATAGCATGGCCCATAAACATGTGTATTACCATCTACTATGTATACAATATTATGTGTGAATCTGTGCCACATCTTTATGATTCAGCATAACTTTGACTATGAAAACTTTCAAGTACACTACTTTCCTATCAAACCATATGCAGGTTAAGGTAAAAATGTTTGAGGCTACTCCATTCATTGCACTTCTACAGCAATTAGTGTTGTAAATATTCTAAACTATGTGGCTAAAATCAATGATACATTTTGTTATATCTTGCAGATGTTGATCAAATGCCGGGAAACTCTGGTGGATCAGAGCAACAAGTGACCGTGGTGAGAGGGCGTCTGAAGGACGATAGCAAGTCAATCACATTCAATAAGCTCTGGAATGTCGAGGAACAGAAAAGGTTAAAACAAACTTTAATGCCATTTTATGGAAAGTCTTGAATAGTACTTGACATTATGATATTGTTATTTAGATCATGTGATATAAACAAGTTTTAAAGGGAAATTGCAAATTTGTGACGTTGTTATCGGCTACAATATTAACAGCATAAAAAGAAAGACTGGCTTGGTTTGTTCTTCAATGACAATGAAATACAATGTATACCCATGGCCAAAGGGCAATAGAAATTTCTAATAAAATTACACATGAACCATGTATCAATAAAGTCAATTAAAGTGTTCTCATACTTTTACTTCCTCGTAGGCATGTTAAGCCATTGTTATATTCCATGTAGGGATGGCCATACAGTATGGCGCAGGCGGGAAGGCTGGGGATGGTAAAATATAAATACTTGGACGTGAATGTTTAGTAGTGCCATTGTAGTTCATTCAAGTTGCAGGTTCTCAATCGGTGTGTACTTATAGTGGCCATTTCTGTCCGGTATAATTATTGTTGTTCATTATTGAAATAATACACTTACATAAATCTTAACAGGAAAATAGTTTTCAAGGCCTGCATGCAGTAGAAAATTTGTGAGACTTTCGACCTTAATGTCAGACAGATCCTTGTGATGGTAAACTGGAGTAATGTTTTCAGATTTGTTTAGGGTTGAAAGATCTATCTTACTATGTTCTACCATTTAGAAATCCTACTAAGTTTTATATTGATTCCAATATAGACTGGAGGACTTGTTAATACAGTACCAGCCTGAAGAAGTTGAGGCCAGGCGGTGGCAGAAAATTGCGACAGCACTTGGCAACAGGACTCCCCAACAGGTATTACCTGGTAATGTACATGTAGAGGCTATCGAAAACAGGACTCCCCAACAGGTAATGTATAGGTAGTGCTTAGTAGCAGGATTCCCCAGCTGGAAATGTATAGCTAGTACTTAGTAGCAGGATTCACCAACAGGTAATGTATATGTAGTACTTAGTAGCAGGATTCACCAACAGGTCATGTAAAGGTAGTACTTAGTAGCAGGAATCCCCAGCTGGTAATGTATAGGCACTCCCCAACAGGTAATGTATTGGCAGTACTTAGTAGCAGGATTCCTCAGCTGGTAATGGATAGGTAGTACTTAGAAGCAGGATTCCCCAGCTGGTAATGTATAGGTAGTACTTAGTAGCGGGATTCCCCAGCTGGTAATGTAAAGGTAGTACCTAGTAGCAGGATTCACCAACAGGTAATGTAAAGGTAGTACTTAGTAGCAGGATTCCTGAGCTGGTAATGTATAGGTAGTACTAAGTAGCAGGATTCCCCAGCTGGTAATGTACAGGTAGTACTTAGTAGCAGGATTCACCAACAGGTAATGTATAGGTAGTACTTAGTAGCAGGACTCCCCAACAGGTAATGTATAGCTAGTACTTAGTAGCAGGATTCCCCAACAGGTAATGTATAGGTAGTACTTAGTAGCAGGATTCCCCAGCTGGTAATTTGTAGGTAGTACCTAGTAGCAGGATTCCCCAGCTGGTAATGTATAGCTAGTACTTAGTAGCAGGATTCACCAACAGGTAATGTATAGGTAGTACTTAGTAGCAGGATTCCTCAGCTGGTAATGTATAGGTAGTACTTAGAAGCAGGATTCCCCAGCTGGTAATGTATAGGTAGTACCTAGTAGCAGGATTC